GAAGAATCTTTATGCACTGAGAATCAGCTCTGCCCCTTCCCTGCCCACAGCTCCTCCATGGCTTCTACTTGGGACAAGCTGCCAGCCCTTCAGCCTGGTTTTTAGGGCTTGTAGAATCTGGTACCTGCCAAGCTGTTACAAAATCCACAAACTATCTTTCCACCTGTCTCTCCAGCCCCACAAAATCCAACATCTTTCCAGCTTCCCAACCTTGGAACATGCTCTGCCTTCACTTGGTGAATTTCCATCTACCTTTCCCCAAATACTGCTTTTGTTCTTTTACCTGGTGTGGCCACCTTCTAGCAGTGTGACTTTTCTCTGGTGACTTGACCTCTCTGAGCTTCAATAGTTCATTGCTTCAATAGTGTCTACTTGGCCCATAATAGGAATCATCAGATGTTAGCTACTGCTGTTAAAAGCATCAGCTTCAGCATGCACAGGTCAGGCTGGTCAGTTTAACCAAGCCTCACAGTGTGAGTTGTGGATTGTGACTGCACAAGAAAGGTGAAGGAACTCAGAGAGGGTGAGACATAAGCTTGGCCACTCAGCAGTCTCTGAACAGTGTATGTGGGTCTCCTTCCCTTCCTTGCACATGGGGGGTCACTGCTGTCCCTGCTCTTGACTCCTGACTTCCCGTCTGCCTCCCTTCCCAGGAAGCTCTCTCTGGGTTCGCTGAAGCCATGGGAACAGGCTTTGTCAGTCTGATGGTGTCAGGCCGGGTGGTGTCAGCGACAGAGGGATGGTGGCGGCTGGGGACACCGGAGGCCGTGCTGCTCCCCTGGTTGGTGGGATCCCTGCCACCACAGGCCGCTCGGGACTACCCGGTGTACCTGCCCCACGGGAGTCCCACGGTGAGTAGGCAGGATCTGTGCCCTGGGGCAAGTGCGCCAGGGGTGGCCCCTAGAGCCCTCACCCTATCGCCTGCTTCAGGTCCCGCATCGGCTCCTGACCCTGACGTTGCTGCCGGGTTTGGAGCTGTGTCTGCTCTGCGGTCCGCGCCCGCCCCTCAGCCAGTTGGGTCCTCAGGTGAATCAGGAGCCCTTTGAGGCTCCCCACCTGGTGACACTCTCTACCTGAGCCCCCTCCAGTGGCTTCTTCCCTCCGGGCCCGCCCTCTCCCCAGTGCGCACCAATCATTTTCGCCCTAGCTTTCCCACGCCCCCTTTCCCTGGTCCCTGCCTCGCCCCCCAGGGTCGTCCTGCGCTCCTTTCTTCTTCTGTGCCCCCACCTGACCACGCCCCCTGCAGCTTCTGGAGCGCTGGTGGCAGCCAGTGTTGGACCCGCTGCGGGCCTGCCTGCCGCTGGGCCCCCGAGGGCTGCCCTACGGCTTCCCCCTGCACAAGGACATCCTCGGGTAGGGCTTGGCGGGGAGTGGGGTGGCGGTCCTCATTCCCTCTCTTCTGGCCCTGACATCTCCTTTCCCCCAGACTGCTGCTCCTCCACCTGGAACTGAAACGTTGCCTCTTTACCGTGGAGCCTTTGGGGGATAAAGGTGACCGAGGACGAGGGCTGATGGGGAGGGCAGGGGGGCCCGGGAGGGGCCCCCCCATCACGGGCTCTTCAACCCCTCAGGACCTTCTCCAGAACAGCGCAGGCGCCTCCTCCGCCATTTCTACGCCTTAGTCACGAGCACACACTTCCCGCCAGGTGAGGGGCGATGCTAGGGGACACTGGAGAGACTGAGGAAAACCCAGCCCGGCTGGCCGCGGTTCCCCTGGAGCAGAGCATTGACGCAGGCAGAAGGGAGGGTGTGGGCCTCCCTGGCTTCAGACTTTCTTGGCTAATCCTACTAGTTGATAATATGACCACAAGGCCTTTCTCTAGTCAGTATTTTTAAATGTAAGGACCCACTCTAGGTGAGGGTCACCCTGTTCTGTCATTGTTCCCATATTGAAGGGCAGGAGGTTGAAGCTCGGCTGGTAAGGGGCCAAGCCATGCTTCAGACCCTAGTGGTCAGGCTCCCCTATCCACAGGCTCCGGACACTGCACACTACAGCTAAAAGCACAGCTTTGCCCAGTGTGGGGAGTGAGGCTTCTGCAGACTCGGGTTAGAAAGAAAAGGTCGTCATAGAATCCATGAGGCCCCAGAGAAGGAAGGGACCAGATGACAGTGTAGCCCTGTGAAGACCCAATTAACTTAGCACATCTGTGCAGGGTCATCTGAGGCTAGACCCCTTCTGAGGTCCATCTCCCCTGTCAGCTGCTCCATGAAGCTCCAGCTTGGGTGTCCAACCTACTGTCTAGCTTGTGGTATCACCTGCATGTTGCTATTTGTGTTACCAAGAGGACTGCCTAGTGCCACACACAGGATTCCTGGGAAAACAAGGACCAAGGCTGGGCGGGAAGAGTGTGAGCGGAGGGAGGAAGCCACTGGCCCTCTTCAGGTTAAGGACGGCCAGCTGAGCTGGAAGGCCTGCTCTGGAAGGAGGCCCCAAAGCCTGCGCCGGGGAGTCCACGCAGACTCCAAACCTGGGCCTAGAGTCGGGAGTGGCCTTCAAGGTTAGCACCCTTGCTGAGTCCCACTGGTTGCCTCAGCTCTCCCTGTCCTTCCCCAGAGCCACTGGAAAAGGTGGAGGATGACGTCAGCCGGGCCCAGCTGCCTCGAGCCTGCTACCTTGTGTTGGGTCCTGGGGAGCCAGGCACGGGGTTGCGACTGATAGCTCTGCAGCTGGGGCTGCGGCTGCTGCTGCTGCTGCTGGCTCCTCAGAGCCCCACCCATGGGCTGCGAAGCCTGGCCACCCACACACTGCACACCCTCAGCCCGCTCCTTTGAATCACCTAGGACGGACAGCCAGCAAAGACGCGGGGCTGTTAGCGTCTCTGTTTATTCGCTCACAATAATACACAGCCCCTGGACGGGGAGGGGTTGGAGGGGCAACGGTGGGGAGGGGTGGGAGGGGAGGAGGCGCCCACTTCCCTGGCCCCTCTCCCCTCTGTGCTTGGGGGGGAAGTGAGGGAGGGGCTCCCCCTTGCCCCCCCAGAATGTAAACAGCAGCAGATGAACAAAAATAAAAATACAAAAGGCCGGAGGAAGGTCCCAGGCATCCCCCTACCCCTGGGGTCTTCCCTGTCGCCAGTGGAGGTCCCCTCACTGCCCCACCCACCACAGCTGCCTCAGTTCTAGGGCTGCCTGGTGATGGCCACATCCCCCGGGCGGGGTCCAGGGCTCAAAACTGCTGGGCCAGCAGCTCACACAGGTGACGGGAGACGGGCTCCTTGCTGGTGCGCAGGGTCAGCCGATACATCTGGATGGGGGCATTGGGGAAGGACTCAGAGGAAACAGAAGCCAGAGGGGAGAGAGCCCAGGAGAGGGTGACACAGGGAAGATGAGAAATGAGGGAAGGATAAAGGAACAAGAAAGGTGGGGAAGACATGGAGAGGCAGAAATCGGGTAAGGAAGAGCAGAGTGTGGAGGAAGATGGAGGAAGCAGGAACACAGGCCGTGTCAAAGGGGGATGGGATGAAAACAGCAAGGCCAAGGAGACTGGGGTACAGGATGCACCCAGACTGAGGGTACAGGTCAGCCTAGGAGTCAGCCCTGGCCTCAGGCGTCCCTCAGCAAAACGCACCTGAGCCTGCGCATTGGGCTCCAGCCGCAGCAGACAGCCCACCTGCAGGGCTTTCGTCTGGATGATTCCAGCGCCCACAAAGTTCTCAGGGTTGGGGTCCACGTTGTCCAGGAGAGCTGAGCCAAACCCCAGAAGCTGTGTGGGGGAGAGGCTGTCAGTGCCAGAGCTCTGCCAGCTCCCAACAACATCTCTGTCTCCCAAATCCTTGTTTAAGGGAACTGATCCCACCGTACAGGTGGCAGAACAGGCTCAGGGAAGTCACCCAGTCACTTTGCGGCAAACTCGGCGTGCCCCCTGCCTCACCTTGGCCTTGGTAACTTCCGCATCCATGGGGTGGTTGGCTTTGAAGATTTTCTGAGCCTCCTGTAGCGGGCTGGGGGGCGGGGGAGGCAGAGTCAGGGACCTGGCACACCCCCCCCCCCACGCACCCCCGGCTAAGGCCAGCGGCTCTTCCCCTGCTGCTCACAGGCTCAGCTGCTTCCAGCGCTGGAAGAAGTCCTGGGCCGCCATCTCCGTGGGCTGGAAGAACTTGTTGATGGTCACCGGGAGCTTTAGGGTGAGGGACTGCGGGGCGCCACCATACCTGGCAGGAGAGGAAGGGCTCTGTCAGGCCCAGCACCCTCACCCTGGAAGCCCTGCCTTCCTGGGAGCGCTGTGCCAGTGCTGAGCAACTCACCGGAAGCGAACTGACAGCAGGGGTGGCGTCAGGAAGTCCCGCAGACACTCGATGTTGAGCACTTGCTGCACCTGCGCTCCGCCGTCCACCTGTGCGGCCACGCGCTTGGTCTGCACAGCCAGCTGTGTCCCCCAAAGGTCAAGGAAGCCAGGGGTACCGGTGGGATGCCCTAAGGGGATCTTGGCCACAACCCTGGATTTCTGGCCTTTGAGGAGCCCTGAAGGCAAGAACCAGCTCCTAGGCAGAAGCCTTGGAACCACCGAGCTGCCTCTCTGGACTGGAGGCCTTTATTGTGGCTCTTATTACTGGCTGGGACGTGGGGACCCGCGCTGACTCCCTGCTCTCACCAGTTGGTGACTGTGGGCAAACTACTTAATCTCTCTTGTCCTCATCTGCAAGATGGACATGTGTACAATGTCCTCAGGAGTCAATGAGAAAATTTTTCACAAGTACTTGTCTGTTACACACAGATGGTGGCCATTAGTGTGGTCGCTGTGTCATTCACGTCATCTACCCACCTACAAGGCCGGGTCACAGCACTCCCACCCTAACCCATATGCTGCACAGAGCTGCCCCCAGATTAATGAAGCACAAAACTGAAAAGGTGCTCTGAGTTTAGGGGTCTAGCCCCTCTAATTTCATAGAAGGGGGAGAAGACTGGCACCGCCAGACACGCTTCCAGAGTTTTTCAACTGCTCTGATCTTCCAGAGCAGCCCTATGAGAAGGAAGAGGAAGACCTATGCCCCGCAGAAGGGTTAGGAAGGCTAGGAGAGGCTAAGTGACTCGGCCCAAGTTCCACAGAGAAGTCCCTGGGGGGGGACCTAGAGCCAGCTGTGGCTCCCAAGTGCTGGAGGCACTGGCAGTGCAGGCATGAAGCCTGACACAGGACCACATCAGGGCACAGGAGGCCTCATAGGGACAAAATAAGGACGAGGGCAGCTGCGATTCCGAAAGTCATGTCTCCTGCACATCATTCATTACCATCTGTCCCTGGGGGAAGAGATCCAGAAGCCCAACTTACAGATGATGACACCAAATCTCAAGAGATGTAACCACATGCCCAAGGTCTCACAGTACTAGGGCTAAACAAGTCTGGACGTCGGTCTCTCGGTTTCCTAGTGGGCCAGGCCTGAGAGGATATGAGTCTGGAGGTCTCCCGGGTGGACAACGGTGGGCGAGAAGTTTTGGAACTGCACTGAGGTCTTGTTGCCATAGAAGAGATACATGCGGCCTGGGGTGGGTGGGGAAGCGGGGCTCCATCTGAGTTCTGACCTCATCCCTGGCCACCAGCCAAGTTCTCCCACCAACCCTTTCCCTCTAGGGCAGTGGAACACACCCAGGTTCTGCCGGAACTCAGACTTGACTCCAATCTGCAGTAGCTGGTTCTCAAACAGGACCCCGTTATTCTTGCACACAAACCTGGACGGGATGGTGGGGAGTTTAGGGTGGCAGGGTGCCTGGGCTGGACTCCCCACTTGTCCCTGTCACCCTTGCCCACTTCTCCTGGGACTCACTTATTCAGCAGTTCATCAGCTTCGGGGATGGGAGGGCCGATGTCCTCAGGACCTGGGCTGGGGATGGGGAAAGGAGTGAGACACGAAGGAAATTGGGGGGCTGGAGGAAGAGGGTACAAGACACAAGCCCGAGAAGGTCAGAACCCCAGAATTCACATGCCCAGCCTCTCCAAAGAACCTCAGAGAACTTTAGAATCAGACCAGCAGCTGCCACCAATGCAAATGGGACCCTGGCAAATGCCTGCGCCCCACCAGGGGGCCTCAAGTTTCACTTTCCTCCAATCCCTGCCTCCGCTGATCATCAGAAACCCCTTGACCAGAGTGCCCAGTCCCCAACCCACCCTGGGACCACCAGAGTCTGCCCCCACCCGGAGTCCACCCCTTACTCAGCAGCTGGAGCTGGGTCGGCCAGCAAAGCCATGGGGCTCTCAGGGGCAGGCGGCTCCAGCTCGCTGGGCCATCCAATCCCAGAGCAGACAGAGAAGACAGGTGCGGCAGGCAGCCAATCCCAGAGAGGCAGCAAAAGGGTCAAGAGAGAGAGAAAGGGAGAGGGAAGGAGAAAAGGAAGAGCAGACTAAGAAATGGTGATGGGAAAGAGAATACAGGGTGGCCAGAGGGAGGCAGCATGGGGCTGGCAAAGGCATCAGGGACAGAGGAGTGTGGGGAGGGGCTGAGCAGAAACGGGGCAGAAGCTGAGGGGCCAGCCCTGGGCGGGGAGAGGGGAGCCAGGCAGCAGTACCTGAGGAAGGCCTGCTCAGGGGTGGGCCCCAGGCTGGGCTGGGCAGTCGGGCCATCAGAGAAGACGTCCACCAGGAGGTTCCCAGCACCTGCAGGAGCTGGGGGTGCCGCTGGGGGAGGGGCTGCCCGCAGCCCCAGGAGGTCGGCGGAGGGCGAAGGCGTGGACTGTAAGAGGTGGGGGTGAAGCTGAGCCGAGGTGGCCACTGGGGGACCAGCCCCAGCCAAGCATGTGGGCCGCTCTATGGGGCTCACCACGGTACTGGGCGTGGGCTCCACACCACCATTGATGTCATTGCTGCTGGCGTCCCTTCGGCCATCATCCAGAGCGCTGCCGGCCCCTGGCCCCTTCTTGCGCTTCAGCTTGGCCAGGATGGAGGACTCGCGCTCAGGGAAGGGTGGCATCTCCTCCAGCACTGTGGCCTGCAGGGGGATGGGCGGGTCAGGCAGGGGCCCTCAGTCCTAAGAAGAGGGAGGACCCGTGGAGGTGGGCAGACGCTGACCAGGACGTCCGTGCTGGCCACCGAACTGAGGGTGAGGTACTCCACGGCGCGCTGCTGCAGCTCCACGTCGGCGTTGCGCAGCTGGGAGCCGGCTCTCAGCACGCCCTGGATGGTGGCCTTGGTCTCGGGGAAGAGGTTGATGAACTTGATGTAGGTGGACAGCAGCAGGGCTCGTGTGGCCACGCTGCACAGGTGGAACTTGGAGTGGAGCAGGGAGAACTGCACTGGGGGGCTGAGCAAGGGGCTGGGTCAGCAGCAGCTGGGCACCACCACCCTGCACAAACCCCTCAGGAGCTGCCTCCCCCAGGAGCCCTCTCCAGGACCACGGGCTGGCCCAGGCCAGCGGTCGCTGCATCATCCTGTCCCAGACTCCTGGGACTTGGGGTCTCTCTTACCGGGTCAGGTGGTTGGAGTGAAAGGCCAAGGGAATTCCTGGCGACCCATCATTATCAGCCCTGAGACTCCTAGAGGTTCCCCAAGCTCTGGACCCCTCAGAAGCTCAGGTGTTCACCCCCCAGCCTGAGGCTCCCTCACCTGGAGCGGGGGTCTCCAGCAATTAGGTTCCCAAACTCCCCGAGGATGTAGCCACCAACCTTCACCATATTCTCATGACAGGCTGGGGCCTGGAGGGCCTGGGGGGAGGAGGCCAAGACAAGAAGGAGAGGGTCAGTGGCTTTGTGCACTGCATGCACCAGGCACAGGACTAGGCCCCGCGTGCTGTTAACAGGTGGAACCTTTGTAACACAGGTGGGACTACAGATAGGGCAACAGGCACAGAAAGGTTAAGGACTGGCCCACGCTTACACAAGGAGGAAAATGGGGCAGTACTGGGCCTCCTTCCCTGGGCACAGGAAATGGAAACTACCAAGACCCATGGATGGAACACTACATGCTGGGCAGCCACAACCATGCTCTGTGGACTCTCTATCAGGCGCAAGAAGCCACAGGTCCTGTGCCTTGGGTAGTCCAGAGGGGCAAAGGCATGGAGCTGGGGGCACAGTGCAGGGGCAGCAGCAGGATGTTGGCCTGGG